TCCAGAGGACCTGACTTAACCTTGTCACATTACTCCACGTGACACTTTTGTGATGTTAAGTTCCAGATAATTGTATCAGTCACTCACCCGGGCAGAGCGTCCTTCAACCAGCTGTGGTGTTTCAAAGAAATATGAAATAATTTAACTGTTAACATGCAAAATATCATTATATGAGAATGAATCAAATTAAATTAATCTTTTTCAAGAAACTATGACGGTCCCTTCTGCAGCTTTGTCATTTTTTCACCACTTCTTCAACCCTTTTTTTTGCTTCTTGCAATGCATTTTAATGGGTTTTCGTGCCTGAAGCAGATTCAAGGCCAGAGTAAGAATTTTTTTGCATTGTGGTGTGTGTGTGTCTGCCACGACTCAATAACTCATATCCTACAACACTCTTGGCTATCACACAACCCCCACCCCAAAGAAACCCGTCACTGTTCTACCTCTGTGCCTTTGGGGTAAGCAAGTTCACCGTGAATAATTTCACCACAGTAGCACACGGCAAGCTTGCCCAGAGGAAGGATTCTGAAAAGTACATTATGTCTACCCCGGGGCACGATTCATGGGATGGTGACAGCTTCAGTCGTGTTTGATAGGTGAGGATGTGCACTGCAGCAATCACCAGTAAATCAATATGTGCTACACTACAATAAAGGACATGACTTGGGGCAAAAGAGTTGCTGTGTTTTCACTTCCACTAATAAGTACAGGAAGTAAGAAATCACCAGTAACTCTGCAGGATTTTCTAACAAAAGTTGACTGATTCCATCTTCTACACATGCATGATATTACAAAAACATGCAATTGATATTTTATCATTAGTTAAGCTAAATCCACATTTTCCTCACGTGACCATAATGCTAATACTCTTTTGTAGATTAGATAGATTCGATTGTAGATTTGTAGATTGTACATTTTGGTTACAATCAACTAAATCAGCTGTGGGTGTTTATAGAACATAAGACCCATATAATAATCAAATATTGTCTTTTACCTGTATGCAGTTTAAGTTTGCAAACTATTGCAATCTTTTAGGAATATTGTTATTGAGCAAAGTGATATTGCAATGAGACATATTTCCAACATTTGGTCCATCTATGCATTTTCTTTTCCTTATTTGTGGTTGGATCACAAATGCATGATCCATGCGGGAAAACCAGACATCCGTCTCCCCAGCAACTATTTCTAGATCTTCCTGGGGGATCACAAGGCATTTCTAGACCAGACAAAATGCATAATCCCTCCAGCAAAAGTTCTGGGTCTGCCTCAGGGTCTCTCCTCTCAGTGAAACGTGCCGGGAAAACCTCCAAAGGGAGGTGTCCGAAATGCTTCATGATCAAATGCCCAAATCATCTTAGATGACTCTTTTTGAGGAGGAACAGCAGCTCAACTCCAACTTCCCCTACGATGACGGAGCTTCTCTCCTTTTCAAAAGCCTGAGCCTGGCCACTCCATGAAGTAAGTACAATTAAGCCACTTGGCCTCTTGTTTTATACATGATACATATCTTATGACCATAGGCTAGGGATGGAATATAGACCAACCTGGAAATCAAAGCTTTTCCTTTCGGCTCAGCTCGTTTTTTTGTCCCATCTGATTGGATCAATGCCCTTATTACATCAGATGAAGCTCCAATCTGTTGATCCACCTCCAGCTTGATCCTACCAACACTCATGAACAAGACTCCCAGATACTTGAACTCCTCTGATTGGGGCAGAGGCTCATCCCCGACTCAGAGGGAGCATTCCAGTTTTTTCTGGTAAATGACCATGCTCAAACTTAGAGGAGCTGATTCTCAGTGCAGCCTCTTCCCACTTGACTGCAAACTGCCCTAACACACGATGAAGATCATGCCCTGTAGACACCAAAAGAGCCCCATTATTCACAAAAAAGCAAAGTCAAAACCTTGAGGTCCATAAAGCAGAGACAACCTTCTCCATGAGTGTGCCTTGAGATCTTGTCCACGAGCATCACAAACAGGTTCGGAGACAAGGGATTATACTTATACCTTATACTCCTGCAGCACCATCCCACTAAATGCCTCAATGAACACAGTTGTAAGCCTTCTCCAAATCCACAAGACACCTTTGGACTGGACACATTTGAGTGAAGATCTTGTCCACAGTTCCACAGCCTGGATGGAAGCCACACTGCTCCTCTTGGGTCCAAGGTTGGAAAATCAGTCAGAATCTCTCTTCCAACATTCTGGAACATTTTCTGGGGAGGTTGACTGCTTGCTCTGATCTCTCACTAGTTGGAATACACTCTGCAGTCCCTATTTTTAAAGATAGGGGCCATCACCCTGGTCTGCCATTCTGCAGTTGTCCTGGTCCTCTGCAAAACGATATCAATATATTGTGCAATCCTAATATCTTCTTATATTACAGCAGAACTGCAGTTCTTTGTGCAAAAGCACAAAAATATTATAACATTCTTTAGAGTACTTAGAAATACTAGCAATCTATCAAGCAAGTGGATTTAAAAACTCAGTGCTTCATCTTCAAAGATTAATTTTTGAAGCAGTATATAGACATTCTGAACATCTTCAAACACCTGAATGAGCCTGTTTGGAGCTCTCACAAGCTCAAATCTCTGAAGTGATACAATTACAAAGACACTGTAGCATCTTTGAGCAGAGAAAAGTTTGGACAGCACTTAAGACAGCTTCTTTGCTTTGAGCCGTTTGAGCAAATGCCGCTCCAGAACAAGTTTTTAAAAAACAACCTAATTAACGTAACTCACATGGAGACTCTGAAACTCAGCAGCACTAAACTGTGGACTTAAAAAAAAAAAATCAAGGCAAAAAAAGCTGCATTTTAACACATTTTATCTGTGAAAAGTTTTGAATAACTTCATAAAGTGATGCGAACACCCCACAGAAATGTAAAGCAATTAAATTTTTGTTTGAATAAATACACAAAAGATGAATGCCATGCAAATGTTCTGCATTAACAAACAGAATAAACATCAGGTAATGATCGACAAGTTGATGTAATTTGCAGAAGAATGAGTGCAAATATTTGTATCAGCTTGTCGGATGAAGAACATTTGCTTTAAAAGTTCATTAACGTTAAAGACAAATTATATTTGTGCCTTTTTATTTTTTTGTTCTACAAACTAAATATGTATTAGAAGGAAAGTAAGGGTTAAAAGTCTGTTCAAATGATAAAATATATTAATTCATCTTCTTTTTGTTTCTTCCTTCTATTTGTGGCTTCCTGTCACGCACAAAAATACATGAACCACAAGTGTCCTTTTCCGCTCTGACTCATTCTTAGGTCAACCTCCCGGCATCTCGTCACTCTATTGTTTTTCCTGTATCTGCTCCATCAGAGAGTAGCAGGCCTCATTAGCGTTCGGGGCTCCTGTAGTGTCCCCGGGCCCCACAACCCATCCAGTCGACCTCCAGCAGCCCCCGTGGGCTCAGAGCCACAAACACAACAAATCACTGAAACAAAAAATCCCTAATGCCTGAATCTTTACACTTCAAAAACACAATTATGCTAATGCCAGGAATCATTTGCCATTCCAGCTCTGATTTAATGCGGCCTTTTAGTGGAGAAAGCTAATTAGAGGCTTTAATTAACATGTGCGATACAAACTGGAGAGCAGCGCGAAGGAGCCTGTCGATCACGGAGGCGCTCGGCGAGGGCGATGAAGCTGGGGAAGGGCGAGAACAGGAAGTCTAATAGCAATGCAAATGAGGCTGGGGAGCACCTCAGAAAGGCGTGGATCTCTGCTGCAACAACGGTTTCTGTAAATATCACCGTGACCCGCAGACAGAGTGGAGTCATCTCATTAACACAGATTGGAAGGTGTCACCAGAGCTCAGACGCGAGGGTCGACACTGACGCAATGCATCCTGAGCTTAGTGGGGGTACCATCATTAAAAACCTCAACAACATGCAGGATTTCAGTTGTTTAGCTTCGCTTATGTCATCCTCCCCTGTATAACCACATCAGAGAGGACCGTGCACCCTATACCAACCTTCTGTGTGTGGAAAATTCCATAAGATTGCTGCGTATATTCTGCACAGCTTTTAATGTTCATGTAAATTTAACAGCAACATGTAGACGAGACTGAACTCATTAACACTGAACTCTGCAGCTCGGATTTTCGCAGTGTCGCTTTCCCTTAAAAAATAATTACAAACCGAGCTGCAGGAAATAGAAGAGTAAAATAGATGATATGAGCTGAAAATAGGGACAAAGCCAGGGGAAATAAAACTATTAACGTCCCGGCTTTTATTCTTTTTTTCCCCACCCATTTGAAGTGTTTTTCTGCAAAGGCAATACATTTTAATAACCAAGATTAAGATATTTTAGGACTTAAGTCATTTTTCCTCTCTCATTTTACTGGTTGAATAACATTTAAAGTTTAAATTAAATTATCTTTTTCAGGGGAAGTTTCATTAAAATCCATTAAGCTGCTGTGTAGGTTGAAATTTTAATACTTGATGTATGGAACAAAAGATTTGCTGACACCGTTTCTTTTATTTCCCCTGGAAATGGTCTAGCAGTTCTTTGCATTTTTTATTTTGACAGTTGCATTCCTAATATGAGTCAATTTCCTTTCATTTCATTGCTTGTGGGTTTATTCAAGTAATGTTCTGAATTTAAATGCCATCATTTTAGCTTTGTTTGGCCAACAGTGCTCATTATGCTTCATATTTTTGCAAAGATTTTTGTAGTTTGTGATACCAGTGATGCAGGAAAATCACGGTTTTTGCAGCCTTTGTAAAAAAAATTAACCTGCAAAGAACTGAAAAGGATAACTTTTAACTTTATTAACGAGTATAGATGGGGCGTCACTGCGGATATTTTGCTTTTGCACATAACATACAGTGCAGCAGGCGCTAAAACAATGTAACACAATGATGGATCACTTAACTGGTTATTCTGACACATAAGGCAGATCATAACGCCCGATCCTTCCATCCATCACCTCAAGGATCTTTGTTATTAATGTCGAAGAGGAGACGAAGAACATTGAGACTCACCTGCATGTTCAGGACAGCCAGTCTTCTTCAGCTTCGGTCACAGGTAACACTCTTAGTACACCGTGTTCTTTTGAGCTGCAAGGAGAACAAAACATCGGGAAGGTTCAGTACCACGGAGATACCTGTCTCAGTCTCATTAAATTGGAGTTTTTGACATGTTTTCAGGTGGAAAGCTCGAGTTTGAACCAGCACTTGTGTTGCATGCGGTGAAATGCACTGCTATAAGTTCTGCTACATTTAAATTCATGTACAAGTGCATGGAAAAGTAAAGCCCCTCCAGCGTGTAGAGGATCTTTTAGGTCAGCTCAGTGCCCACGCTCCTTATCTTCACCGTGTCGTAAAATCTGACCTGATAGTTTTTGCACAATTTTGCTCAAACTAAACTTTTCCTAAATCTTATTTTGCTGCAAGTATTTCATAAACTTTTAGCCTTTTAAACAGCAGTAAAACAAATACCCTGACAAAAAAGTAACTAAATTATGCCAACCTGTTCTGAATTAGTCGCATTGCTTTGATTCTCTATTTGATTTTATTTCAATAAGAAGCAACTTTGGGCAACGGACTGATGAGGTTTATTGATGCACGATATTATCGGCATGGTATCAGTATCAACCGATATTAGCGATAAAGTTAAATATCGGACATCGGCCATTCCATCAAAATGACTCACCGATATAAAAGGCGCTGTTTATATATCTGTTTTTGTATGACAACCCAGTGACATGGATGCCTGCAGCGCCAGTACAACGTTATGACGTCACAAGTGCCGTTCAGTTTAGATTTGTGCAAATTTACAAACTTGCACTGTTCGAGTGTTGTCGATGTGTTAGAGAGAGTAAATATCATGAATAAATGTGACATTAAACATATTCCAAGTTGAAGTGTTGCATCATTTTAATCCCCCTTTTTGGCATCTGCATTTGGTAGCAGGCCAAATTGACAAAGACCATGCAGAATAATATAGTATTTTAATTCTACAGCAAAGAAAGATATGTAGTCTCTGTAAGTAGATCTAAGAAATAAATATTGGTATCGGTTATTGGCCAAATATGTTTTAACATATCGGATATTGGCCAAAAATCCAATATAGTGCATCCCTAGATGAGGTTTATGCTTAAATGTACTTAAGAGTGAGAAAAATGTACATTTTAACACAGCATTAGCACTGCATGTTGGAATATCACGGTGCAGCGTGCGCTCTGAGGACATTATTACCTGCAGTGTTCCCTCAGTGTGGACTGAACTTGGCAAAATGGTCTTCTCCTACTCTGCGCAGAAATGTTCCTGTTTTTAGTTTTCTACACCGCCTTACATCCTAGTTGATTTTGTGTTACATTTTCTTTTAAATACCATTTTATTTTCACTTATTTAAAAATAAAAATCTCAATCTGTACGCATCCTTTATGATTGTCTATTGTTGTCCACTGTTGTCATCACTCTAAATTCAGGTCTCTCTTGTAAAAGAGTCCCCGAGGCTCAGTGGGATTAACCCGTTTAAATAAAGGTTGAATGAGAAAATCATGTAAAATGGCTGCCTGTTGCATTATATTTAAATGCACAGAAACCTGCTGAAGCAGCATCATATGAAAAGTTTATGCTGCCATGCTCATTATTCACATAATGTAACTATGGATATTCAGTGCAAAAATTTATTTTAGCAGCTATAACAAATGATTTCAGTTTAATAACTATTTTACTGTATGTGGGTTGAGATGAATACTGCAGGAGAAAGCACGCTAGCACAGTATTTGTTTGTGTTACGAGTACAATTGGCTAAAATTGACTATTTATTGGATTTAACAGATTCTATTTGCCAACTTCTTATTACATATAGTTTGTGACAACGTAAAGTGTGCTTTGTCTTTGTGATGTTGTATTCTTACTGAAGCAGTGAGACACCAGTCGTGATATTTCAAACAAGGTGCTCTTGTTCTGACTATTGAATTAGCAATGCAGCTGGGTAACGGCGCTCATATTATGCGCTTCAGATTCAAGGTCAGCGACTATTAAGTGGTTATAAAATGTGTTTATTAATATGACACAGCAGGAACTTGTCTCCCAGAGGACACAAGAAGGAAATGACAGGGTGGATGAGTTCACACTAAGCCTTTGAAATCTGATGTTAATCCGTGGCATTTGTGAATTATTTCTACTTTACAGTTTGGCACAAATAGGATTTTTTTTTTTTTTTCAATTATTCTATTTATTTGATTCAGCTGCATTTATTAGTTATAGTTAAGTTAAATGCTAAATGAGCCTGAGAGGTCACCAGAAAGCCATTTCCTCAGGAAACTTTTCAGACAGTTTCATTTAATTGACTATTTCAGGTCTGTTTTATTCCATATTGATCGAAAGCGTATTCTGCACCCGAGCTATAGATCCACTTCCATCACTAACAGCAGTAAAATGAGCAGAATCGCAAGGACTAATTGATTGGTAGAGCAAGCAACACTAAGCAGCTGCTTTGATGACAGCTGGACCATTTCCATCATTTTTAACCCGATGGTGCCAAACATGTCGCATATGCAACAATATGTTTAATGGATTGTCAATCAAATTAGGAAATTTGCAGCCATGTTCTCAGCCCATCGAAAGCTTTCTTGGACTTTGGACTTTGACAAAAATCAGTTTATTTAACAATGAGACTCAGTTTGAATTTGGGAACGTATGAAAAACGAGGCTTCCTCCGAAGAAAGAGCAATAAACAGAGCAAAATTTGCACTCTTTCAGTTAACAGTATTTCATACCTCTCATAAAGAAATCAATATAATTCAGAGAGATGGAGCAGAAAAAAAAAACAAAAAAAACAAATGGAAGTGTTGCTGAGGCTGGCATCAGAGGGCCCTTTATAGTAAACTTGATTAAAAGAAAATTGCTTTCAAGTGCTCTCAGCGGGCTGGGAGGTTGAGTGGGTGTGCTCTTGTGGGTTTCAGGGTGAGGAAACAAGATGAAGAAATGCTTTGAAAGTGCCGGAGGAGAAAAAAATAAGAAAAAATGAGACTGGTGACACAGTGGCGCAATATCTCTTATCAATTTAGGTAAATTTTCATATACATTCCACCTTTTGTGAGATAAGGTAATTCTATTTAGTGTCTCCCTATAATAAAAAAAGTGGTTTAAGGGGAAATTTTAAAACTTTAAACTGTCTTTTGATATCAAATGCCAACTTTCTGTTTCATATATCAAAGTGATCGTCAGTAAAAATTCTGCAAGGAAATTTTTCTCACACAAAAGGTCTGTTGTATTTAAATATACTGTATAGTAATTTGTCTTTTTAGTGGCATTCTTGTTAGTTTTCTTCTCTCGTCATATTGTTTTTGACTTGTTTCAGGTCTGCACATCTCGGTGGGCTGGCAGCCTCAGTCAGCAAAAGGAAGAAGGAAAGCACAGGCCAGATGTGAAAAATGATGTAAATGCTAGAAAAACTGTGCAGCATCAAACAAATGATAGTAAACTGAACATAAGCTGCACTTCTTAAAAGGCTAAATAAGATGTTCTGTATAAAAAAACATCATTAATACAAGAAAAATGTATGCGGTTAAAACATATTTATATAATTTAAGCCTTCTTTTGGGCACCTGTCTGCCATTTAGAGACCTCAAATACAGTATATGAGATAAGAATTTAAAGTATGCGTTCTTTTTAAACAGACTAAATGCATCAGGTGTGTCAAAGATGCATGGACAGATCAGAAAATGAAATAATTTATGAGTGGATTTTAGCTTGTTAGGTCTCCCTCTGACAGAAATGTCAGAGGGATGAGGTTTTTAATTTGGGAACTGTCAAATTTGTATAATTTATTCCCTGATAAATTCAAAAAGACATCAAGAGATCAAATACTGTTTCTGATTTCCATGAAACCTTCAGCTAATTGGTTTTAAAAGAGTGAATAATTCAACCTGCGGGCTTTAAAGCTGCCTGATTCGGGGCGAGAATAACATTAGGACTGCATTACTGCAAAAACTTTTTGTCAATTTTGTTTCTGATTAGACTTAAATGGATTTCTTCATCCATGTGCTCACTATAGGGCAATGTCAGTCTAGTCGTGAATAAAATAAAAACAGGAGCAACAAAGAGCTCTATGACGCACAGATGTTGCTTGTGTAAAAGTGTAGCAACACTGAACAGTGCCGTCTAAATATTACATCACCATAAAGATGTGTGGAGGATTTTGTTACATCATTAATTCAGAGCGGTGACACAACCAACTAATGACTGAAGATGATCGTTTGTAAATTAGTGAAGAGAATAGATGTTTAAAAAAAAAAAGTGAGTGAGTGATAATGTAATTGCTTTTGTCTGTGTTCATTTGTCTGTCAGTGAAATACCTCACGAGACTCTACACCGCCAGCAACGAATTCAGAAAACAATCAATGGCTGTCCAACTGATTAACACTTGGAGAGAACTCATTTTAAAATGGCTGCCACAGCTAATGAACATTAAAACACAAGAATTGCCCTTTAGCTCCAATTCTTTTCAGATACTGAGCTAAAATTTGGTGTGGCAGTAGCTAAAAGCCATCGCCAACACATACTCTAAGCAGTGACTACTGTATTATTCGGATTATGAAGCGCACCAGATTATAAAGCGCATTAAGTGAAACAAAACAGTCAGATAAGCCCAACTTTATTCAACTCATTCACAATAACCACATAAAACTGGTTTGAAGTCAGTAAGCACAACCAGAATTAAGGCATAAAATGCACCTGATTATAAGGCTCACTGTCAAGTTTTAAGAAAATTAAAGGATTTTAAGTGCGCCTTGTAGTCCAAAAAATACGGTAATCATGTTTGGTAAAAACCTTAAAAATAACTGTTTAAGTCGACCCTGTCTTTTAGCAAAATATCTCACGGACCACTAAACAGGCTTTTAAAAAGAAAAAGTAATCACAACTCCATCTGATTAAGCTTTGAAGTAAACCCAGTTTGTGATGGTCGCCACAGCCAAATGACCTCAGCATACACGAACTGCTGCAAGTCACATTCGGTGTGGTAGTAGCAGAGACTCATTCACAACACATACTCTAAGGCTATGTTCATTTTTTGCCGTGTTCCATATTATTCTGCGAGGTCG